GGTAATCAAAAGGCAACTTAGAAAATACTTTGAGATGAATGAAAATGAAGATACAACATACCAAGAACTATGGGATGTAGCAAAAGCAGTGGGTTAAAGGGAAATTTATCGCTGTAAATGCCTATATCAAAAAAGAAGAAAAATCGCAAATCATTAATCTAAACTTATACTGATGACACTGGAAAAAGAACAGCAAACTAAACCAAAGTAAGCAGAAGGGACAAAATAAGTATTAGAGTGGAAATAAATAAAAGAGTCAATAGAAAAACAATAGATAAAATCAGTAAAATCAGAAGTGATTTCCTTGAAAATATTAACAAATCTGACAAAGCTTTAGCTAGACTGACCAGGAAAAATAAATGAAGAGACTAAAATTACTGAGGTCAATAATGAAACTGGGTACACTGCTATTGAACCTAGTGAAAGAAAAAGGATTAAAAGAGGGTGCCTGGGTGGCTCGGTGGGTTAAGCTGCTGCCTTCGGCTCAGGTCATGATCTCAGGGTCCTGGGATTGAGTCCCGCATCGGGCTTTCTGCTCAGCAAGGAGCCTGCTTCCCTCTCTCTCTCTGCCTGCCTCTCCGTCTACTTGTGATCTCTCTCTGTCAAATAAATAAATAAAATCTTAAAAAAAAAAAAAAAGGATTACAAGAGAAAGTATCAAGAATTCTATGCCAATAAATAAGACAAAATAGACAAATTTCTAGAAAAGATAAAAACTATAAAAAATGATTCAAGAAGAAATAATTAAAAAAAAAAACGGTAAAGAGATTAAATTAACACTAAAAAACTACCTACAAAATAAAATAAAATAAAATAAATCCCAGGTACAGATGGCTTCATTGATGATTATTATCAAATATTTAAAGAAGACTTAAAACCAATATTTTGTTATTACCAATATTCCAAAAGATAGAAAAAGAGAAACACTTTTGTAAGATGAGTATTACCTTAATATGAAACCAGACGAATACAAGAAAACTACAGACCAATATCTTCAATAATATGGATGCAAAAATCCTCAACAACCTACCAGAAAACCACATCCAGCAACATAGAAAAAGAATTATATACCATGATCAAGTATGATTTGTCTGCTTTTCCAGGAATGTAAGGTTGGTTTAATATCCAAAGATCAAATAGTATTATACACTGTATCAACAGACTACAAACCAAAATCCACATGATCATCTCAGCAGATGTAGAAAGAACATTTGACAAAATCTAATATCCTTCATGATAAAAAAACATTCAAGAAACTAGGAAAAGAAAGAACTTGCTCGGCCTGATAAAGAGCATTTATGAGAAAACCTACAGCTAACATTATATTTAACAGTGAAAGACTAAATTTTTTCTAAGAAACATAGTCTTAGGTAAAAAAATAGAAGTTTGAACACATTATTTTATTTCAACACTGTATTGGAGGTTTTAGCCAGTGCAGCCAGACAAAAAAGAAATAAAAAGCATTCACAATGGAAAGAAAGAAGTAAAACTGTCTTTATTTATAGACAACATATTCATCTATATAGAAATTCAATGAAATCTTCAAAAATTTACAGGATGAAGTGAGTTTAGCAAGGTTGTATGATAATATCTCAATATACAAAAACCAACTGTATTTCTACCTATTAGCAATAAATTGAAACTTTAAAAATGTCATATATAACACCATCAAAAACATGAAATGCTTAGAGATAAATCTGATTAAAGCTGTGAAAGACCTGTATATTGGCTCCTACAACTGCTGGGAAAAAAAGAGAAGACCTAAATTAACAAGAGCTATATGATGTTTGTGGTTTAGACAACTTAATATTGCTAAAATGTCATTTGTCTCAAAATTACAGATTCAACTCAATACCATTAAAAACAATAGCACTGCCTTAAAAAAAAAAGAAAGAAAGAAACTGAGAAACTCACTCTAAAGTTCATATTGCAAATGACCTAGAATAACCAAAACACTGTAGAAAAGGGAGAACAAAACTGAAGGACTAACACTACCTGATTTCTTAAAAAAGATTTTTTAATTTATTTGAGAGAGTGAGTACACATGCATAAGCAGGGAGAGGGCCAGAGAAGGGAGAGGGATAGGTCAACTCCATGCTGAGTGTGGAACCTTGACATGGGGTTCAATCTCACAACTCTGAGATCATGACCTGAGCTGAAACCAAGAGTCAACTTGCTTAACCAACTGAAACACCCACCCAAGTGCCCCAACACTACTGTGTAGTAACTATACAATCAGGGTTACTGATTCTAACACTTATTATAGAGCTACACAATCCAGATGGCATTCACAGTAAGACAGATAAGTTAAACAGAATACAGAATCCAGAAATAGGCACATATATGAAACAAATGATTTTCTACAAGGGTGCAAAGACAATTTAACAAAGGGTAATTTTTTCAACACATGTTGCTGGAAGAATTGAATATCCAAATTCAAAAATATGAATGGGGATCCTACTTTGTACCACATACAAAAATTAATGGATCATAAACCTAAATTCTAGGAGAAAATCTTTGTGACCTTGGGTTAGACAAGAAACTCTTAGATATGCTACTAAAAACATAATCAGTGAAAGAAAAGAGCAAATTGCTAAGTGGGAGTACATCAAAATTTTAAACTTCTGTTCTTTATAAGACAATTTTAAGAGAATGAAAAGACAAGCCATAGACTAAGAGAAGATATGTGCAAAGCATGTTTGATAAAAGACTTATGTCCAAAATATATCAAAACAAATTCAAAATGAAATAAGAGAACAGGCAACTAATTAAAAAATGGGCAAATATTTGAAAAGAAGCTTCACCAAAGAATAAATATGGGTGACAAATAGGACACGAAAAGATGCTCAACATAACTAATCATTATGCAAATTAAAACCACAATGATAAACTGTTAATCATATATACATTTTACATACATATATCTACATTACATGTTAGTATGGCTAAAATTAACAGATTGATCATACTAAGTGTTAGCTAAGAAGGAATGTGGAGGAACTAGAATAGTCACACACAGCTGATGGGAATGTAAAATGTCATAAACAACTTTGACAGTTTCTTAAAAAGTTAAATGTATACTTACCATATTTAATCCAGCCATTCCACTCCTAAGAATTTACCCAAGAAAAGCAAAAGCCTATGTCATACCAGAATTTGTACACCAGTGTTCAAAGTAGCTTTTTTTGTGATAGTCAGCAACTGGAAACAACCTAAATGTCTATCACAGATAAAATGAAAAGCTGTAGTTTGTTCTACATACTACACAACAATAAAAAAGGAATTAACTACTTATGCATGCTCTAATGGCAATGATTCTCAAATAATTATGTTTGGAAAAAGAAGCCACATAAAAATGAATACATATGGTGTAACATCATTTTTACAGGATTCTCAGACATATAAGCTAAAGTAGAGGGACAAAAAGCACAACAATAATTGTCTAGAGCTCAGCATGGGAAGAAAGGGGTATGAAGGAGGCATACAAAAAGGCAAAAAGATACTTTGGGGTGATGGATTTGTTCATTACCTTGTTTGTGGTCATGATTTCATAGGTGTATACATGTGTCAAAATATGTCAAATTGCATAATTTAAATACATGTAGTGTATGTTAGTCATATCTCAGTAAAGCTGCAAATAAATAGCTGAAATATGAAAAGTTATATTGAAATTTTATTACAGCTGTCAAAATTTGAGTTAACATAACTAATTTACTAACTAAAATCTGAGTTGCTTTGGCTAATCTGATGTAGGTACTACTTAGCAATAAATTCGTTGACAGACAAGCAAATAGAACATCAAGGGATCTGAGATCAAGCTACTAACTTGGTCTTTACACTATAGTTTGGAATTTTTAAATTATTATTATTTTTTGCTCCTAACTTAAAGGTAAAGTCTATCAGGAAAAGCCTTATTAACCAGAAATGGAAGGACAGGAAACAGTGGTCATTCAGATTAAATTCCAGTTACCCAGGACTGATTTCTGTTCAACTGGTGCTCCCTGAGCAAAGAAGCATTCGAGGATTCTTGCAATCACTGCCACTCTGAATTCCTCCTTCTAAAAGTGCATGTGGCCAAAGGAGAGAGGAAGTCTCTTTTGTAGGCATTTCTAGTAGAACAATTTCTTTCCTTTTCTATTTTTATGCATTGTGTGATATTGTTTTAATTGAGTCAGATTTATCCAAACTCCAAGTTACTTCTTGTTCCTAAACTGAGCTCCTATGGAAGAAGAATTTATACTTATCCCTTATCAGGGGAAGCTTTAGCAGTATACGTATAGTAATTCCCTAAACTCTGGAACCAAAGATAGCTCCAATTTGTTATGGCTATGTTGTTCTTAAATCCTTCCTGAGGCAATATAATTGACTAATTCTGTCTTTAGAGCCCAAAGGTGCTGTGACCAAAATGTATAGAGCAATCCTAACAGCACGATTTCACTAAGAACACAATGGTACACCCTTTCATTCAAGAAGCCTAGCCAAACCCTATTTCTCTAATTAGAGCTAAAGGCCTACACTTTTTTTTAAAGATTTTATTTATTTATTTGGCAGAGAGAGATCACAAGTAGGCAGAGAGACAGGCAGAGAGAGAGAGAGAGAGAGAGGATGAAGCAGGCTCCCCGCCGAGCAGAGAGCCCAATGAGGGACTCGATCCCAGGACCCTGAGATCATGACCTGAGCCGAAGGCAGAGGCTTAACCCACTGAGCCACCCACGAGCCCCACTTTTTGATATCAACCTTTATTAACTTATTTATAAAATTACATGATTTTAGGGCGCCTGGGTGGCTCAGTCACTGGGCATCTGCCTTTGGCTTGGGTCATGATCGCAGGGTCCTGGGATTGAGCCCTGCGTCAGGCTCCCTGCTAGGTGCGGAGCCTGCTTCTCCCTCTCCCTCTCCCACTGTTTGTGTTCCCTCTCTCGCTGTGTTTCTCTCTGTCAAATAAATAAAACCTTTTTAAAAAAATATTACATTATTTTAGAGGAAAAAAAATAGGATACCTGTGTTTTGAATTCCAGAATGTTATTTCCTGGATTAATTCTTCCGAGTAATATCAGATCCTTTATCTGCATGCATTTCTTTCTAGGAGCTGTGCTGTAGTTTAAAGGCTTTTTTATAGTACGTTGATGGCCACATCTAGAGGAAGAGGAGCTCTGACTGTCATTAGCATGTGGAACACCAAAAGCTGATTTTTTAAGATATGATTTCATCTGATGCCCAGTATTGTTACCTAAGACATCAGTCCCTTGATGTGCCAAGGATTCTAATGTTCCTCTAGGTGGTTGCTGGGAAGCTCTTTTCCTCTTTCCTCTTTTTGGATCACAACTGGTAGAATCCTGATCACAAATAACAGTCGATGGATGGGCATCACTTTTGGCAAGTATGCTTGTAGTCTCTGAAATATGTAATGCACCAGTTACTCCTGAGGGACTACTATAGGATTCATGCCCTTCGGCCAGAGTTTCTGTAAGAAACTCTTTTTCTTTTTGTGAATGTTCTGCTTGAGCAATAAAAGCAATAGGTTGGGATGGTAATTTAATCTTCTTACTGCCATTTGAATGTCTGGATTTTGATAACCCACCCAAGGTACAGTCACTCACATGTTGGTTAGAATTCAGTTCATTTCCAGAAAATTCTTCCCTTCTCACTGTTTCTGAGTTTACACAGGTGTTGGTATTTTGGCTGCCTTTCCACATTTGCAGAGACAACTGTGTTTCCTGCATGCTTCCACAAATAAGGCCTACAGGAGAAAGTGAACCTGACTGAGACTGCAATGGATTTTCCAGGCCGGTACACTCTTGGATGTCCTTTTCACTAGAGGTTTCTGAGCTGGATGGCAGCTTCCTCAGACTGGGACCAGACAAAGATGTAATGTTTTTATAGTTTTGAATTTTCTGGCTAATTTTTTTCTGTTTTTTTGCTACAACTAAAAGGTTCTTCTGTCTTGTGGCCAAGTTAGCCAGTTGTTCTCTCAGGACTCCTTGCTTAAATGATTCTATGGACACCCTAGAAAAAGAAACAGAAAGAGGAAAAAATACAAAAACAGTAGAAAACTTTTTTTTAGTAGTCATTTAGATTTTAAAGATAATTTGTCTCCATTTAAATTTAATCAGCCCAAAGTACACAAGAGTCTATTTTTGCAATTAATTTCCTCTGAGAGGAAATGACTCTTAAGGTGAACAATACTGCCTTTTCATTGAGGTGATGGTTTGGTTATCCACATTTACTTTAATTACCAGTTGTTAGACAACTATGAAAAAGAAACAAAACTGGAATTGTTTAGTTGGAAGGTAGCAACTGATGGCCAAGGAGGAATACCATTCTTTAAATTTGGAGTTTGCTTACCTGTTTATTTTGGGAATAACATTTGGGAATAAGTTCCACTTAAGTTCCCTTAGGGGAAGTGAGACTGTTCTGTGAGTAATCAGACCTGGGCTAGACCTGAGAAATGTCAGTCCATCAAGTTATTACTGCAATTATACTTTAAACCTGTACTGAGGCAGTTTCAGGTCCAGAGGGACTACCTAGACAAACATTATCCTGTGTGACTATAAGGGGCTGGATTTTGGGAGAAAATGGCTGATCACACACCTTTTTTTTTTTCTGATTATACCCACTTATGCTACAGTGGCCTTCAGGATACTAGACTCTTTTGTTTACAGTAGTTCTCAAACTTTTTGGTTTTATGACATTTTTATACTCTTAAAAATTATTGAGGAACCCTATCAACAGTAGCCAAACCAAGGAGAGAGCCTAAATGTCCACTGACTGATGAATGGATAAAGAAGTTGTGCTATGTATATACAGTGGAATATTACCCAGCCATAAAAAGAATGAAATCTTGCCATTTGCAATGATATGGATGGAGCTAGAGTGCATTATGCTGAGTGAAATAATCCAGTCAGAGAAAAACAAGTACCATATGATCTCACTCATATATGGAGTTTAAGAAAGAAAACAGATGAACATATGGTAGGAGGGAAAACAAAAAAAGAAGAGAGGAAAACAAGCCATAAGGGACTTAACAATAGAAAACAAACTGAAGGTTGATGGAGGGAGGTGGGTGGTGGGTAGGCTAGATGGGTAAAGGGTATAAAAGAGGGCACTTGTTTGATGAAAAAAAATTATTGAGGAATCCAAAGGGCTTTTGTTCATATGGGTGTTTCTATCAATATTTACTGTTTTAGAAAATAAAACAAATTTTAAAACACAAGACTATACAAGCATACATCCCATTAGTTTTAGAGTAATGATACCATCACAGTTCATGTGGCCTCCAGAAAATTCCATTACACACTCATGAGAGAATGAGAGCCAAAAAGGCAAATAACATCTTAGTTTTATTATAAAAATAGTTTTGACTTCATGCACCCCTTGAAATGGTCTCAGGGACCCTCAGGGATTGCCCTTAAGCAGCTACTTTAAGGATAGCAATAGTATAGATATCTGTTTCACCTATCACAGTCTGGAGTTGTTGGTACTGAATTCCAAGAAGAACGGATGTTAAAATGAGTAGCAGATGTAAGTGGAAGAAGCAGGTAGCATAAAATGCAAGAAGCTGGATCGAGGAGAAAGAAAAAATTAGTAATATCACATTTAAAACAAAGTTCAGACAGAAAAATAAAAGTGCATTTTAGATTACAAGATTTTAAGTTTTACAGCAAGATTAATAAGGATTTACACACCTGCAAACCCAACTGATCGGGAACTTTCCAAAATTCTCAGTATATTGTTAGTCATAGGACCTAAAAGAAAAATTGAATCTAGCCTTCTCCAGTCTCCTAGAAAATATCCTGCAGTCAATTACCCACCTATAGGTCTTATAAGTTCACTTGCATTATACTGACAGAAAAATAGGAAACAGACAAGAATTTATGTTACTTATCACTGGAGAGAAAAGCACAATGAAGACAAAAGACTTATAAATGAAAATAAAAAACTGACTTTTAAATAGGTTCAGAAAAAAACTGAATATGCAATAGATGTCAAATGTTTACAAGAACATAAAGGAAATTAGAAAGATCACGTGTGAATAAAGAATAAAGTCAAAAGATACCTGCAAAGTCATATTTCACTGCAGCATTATTAACAATAGCTGTGACATGGAAACAACCTACATATCCATCAAAGGATAAAGAAAGGGACACCTGTGTGGCTCAGTTGTTAAGCATCTGCTTTTGGCTCAGGTCATGATCCCAGAGTCCTAGGATTGAGCCCCACATTGGGCTCCCTGCTCAGCAAGAAGCCTCCTCCCTCTTACACCCCCCTGCTTGTGTTCCCTCTCTTGCCATCTCTCTGTCAAATAAATAAATAAAATCTTTAAAAAAAAAGGATAAAGAAAATGTGGAATGTATACACTACACACACACACACACACACACACACAGAAAAATATTATTCAGCCATAAAAAAGAACAAAATCCTGGGACGCCTGGGTGGCTCAGTTGGTTAAGCAGCTGCCTTCGGCTCAGGTCATGATCCTAGCGTCCTGGGATCGAGTCCCACATCGGGCTCCTTGCTCGGCGGGGAGCCTGCTTCTCCCTCTGCCTCTGCCTGCCTTTCTGTCTGCCTGTGCTCTCTCTCTCTCCCTCTCTCTCTGACAAATAAATAATAAAATCTTAAAAAAAAAAAAAAAGAACAAAATCCTGTCATTTTTGATAACATGCACAGACCTTGAGGGTATATTAGGTAAAATAAGTCAGAAAAAGAAAAACAAATACTGTATGGTCTCACTCATATGTGGAATCTAAAAAACCACAAAAACTGAACACACAGAGAACAGATTGGTGGTTGCCAGAGGTAGAAGGTAGAGGGTGGGTAAAATGGGTGAAGGGAGCCAAAAGGTACAAACACCCACTAATAAAATACGTAAGTCCTGGGGATAGAATGTACAGAATGTACAGCATGGTGACTATAGTTAATAATACTCTATTGTATATTTGAAAGTTGCTAAGAGACATCATGACCAAAAAAAAAAAAAAAAAAAAAAAAAAAGAAAAAATAACTAAGTCTATGAAAAAATAAAAAAAATAATGCCCAAACAAAAAAATAGAACATTTTTAAAAAAGATTTTATTTATTTATTTGACACACACAGAGAGAGATCACAAGTAGGCAGAGAGGCAGGCAGAGAGAAAGAGGGGGAAGCAGGCTTCCTCCTGAGCAGAGAGCCTGACTCGGGCTTGATCCCAGGACCCTGAGACCATGACCTGACCTGAAGGCAGAGGCTTAACCCACTGAGCCACCCAGTGTCCCATCTTTCTCTTTTTTTATTATTATGTTCAATTAGCCAGCATAGAGTGTACATCATTAGTTTTTGATGTACTGTTCAATGATTCATTAGTTGAATGTAACACATTTTTCTCAAGAAAAGGACAAAAAATGGTATATAACCAGTATCATTATGATGAAGCCTCTTAAAAATTCTGAGAGTTTAGAAATACACAAAACTAAATAATATACATGGTTACACTGCTTAGAAAGACAATATTTGTGATGGCAAAAGGAAAAATTTGTAATGTAAAAAATCTGAGTTCACTATGGAAAGAAATTTATTTTGGGATTTAGGACCAGAGATACTTTCACAAAATTCTTGGCTGTCGACAACTTTTTAAGACACTAAAATGTCTTTTTCTGAATATTTCAAGTAATAAAATAGAAAAATATATTTCTGGGAAGTACAATTACCCATGGAGGTAATAGAGTAGATGACCTCATAAAGTCATTCTTTGGTCCAAAGCAACAACTGTACTCTTAAGAAATTCTAGATCTAACTCTTATAACTAAAAAGTGGTAAATTATGAAAACTCTAAAGCATTCCTATTTTTTTCACTCACCTGTATTTTTTAGCCAGATCATCTCTTTCTGCCTTCTGTTTGGCAAGCACATTATCCATAACTTCTTTTACCTCTAACATCTTTTCAATGTATTGTTCTGGAAACATAGTAATAAAAAAGTCAGTTAATTGAGAAATAGCAAATGTTAAATTTGATCACCCAGGACTCAACCTTATTGTTACTCTTAAAAAGCCATTATTTCCCTACCTGCTCCCTAGTATCAGTGGCCCAGATACATAAATCAAGGCCCATTGAATTATGCCATCCTATGGAAGTACCCTGAATACAGCAGGCCAGTCTGTATTCTAATGCTGCTACTCCACTAAGCTCTGCAAACCTGGACAAGTCACATGACCTCTATGGTCCTCTTACTTATCTGTGAAATAAGGTTAGTAAAGAAAGATAAATAGGAAAATAACTATTTTGTTAAAATTACTTTTTAAAATACAAAAGGAATACATTGTAAAAAAAAATTCAAACAATATGAATGTTTACACAGAAGAATAATACCCTCCCCCCCTGCTTTTTCTCTTTTTCACTCCACAAGAGACTATTAATACTTTGGTAGCAGTGTCTTTGTTTGTGCATGCAAAAGTTTTAATATATTTAATGTATAATTCTATATATTTATACTATATGTAATTATAATATTATATGTGCTTAAAAATAAGAAGGATGCTATCAGTTCTTTTTTTTTTTTTTAAAGATTTTATTTATTTATTTATTTGTCAGAGAGAGAGAGAGTGAGAGAGAGAGAGAGCGCCAGCGGGAGAACACAAGCAGGCAGAGCTGCAGGCCGAGGCAGAGGCAGAGAGAGAAGCAGGCTCCCCACTGAGCAAGGAGCCCAATGCGGGACTCGATCCCAGGACCCTGGGATCATGACCTGAGCTGAAGGCAGCGGCTTAACCAACTGAGCCACCCAGGCGTCCCTGATGCTATCAGTTCTTGTTCTTTACACTTAACACTTAGAACTATATGATATCTAAGGTTACTTAAAGATGTATATAAAATTACTTCTATAATAATTACTTCAAATTTTCTTACTTTCTTCCACTACTTCCTAAGTAATGGTCACTACCTCCCTCACCCATCACAAATCCACAAGATTTACACATAAATGTCAATTAAATCCAGATTCCCAAGCAGTAAACGGAAAGGCTTAGATGAATACATTTTACTTCTTTAAGCTACTTGTTATTTATTTCACGTTTGGCTTTGTTTCTAAGTTTTTTCCCAATTCTTTTAGACCAATGCATAGTTTTCTATATAATTTAGAGAAAATAAGTGGTGGGAAATCAAACCAAGCTCAGAGCATGAATTTGTTCCCTTTGCAAATCAGACAAATGATTTGATTAGCACAGAATCAGTGTTTCCATAGTAGTTTCTGTCTTGTTATTACTATGATCGAGGATTAATTTTATATGATGCATGTGCCAAAAAAGGGGGGAAACCTGGATGATCATTAAAAATTTATATATAAATTTGTTTGGCAGATTTGACATTATTTAATAAAAGATGTTCATACTATGTACCCTGTCACACTGAGTTTTTCTAACTGAATTTTAAATCACAGATAAAATTCACATTATCATAGTAACTATTATAATAATAGTTATCATAGAAGATTCTCTATGTTTCTATAAAAAAGGATATAGGGACGCCTGGGTGGCTCAGTCCGTTAAGCCACTGCCTTCGGCTCAGGTCATGATCTCAGGGTCCTGGGATTGAGTCCCGCATCGCATTGGGATCCTTGCTCAGTGGGGAGCCTGCTTCTCTCTCTGCCTCTGCCTGCCACTTTGCCTGCTTGTGCTCGCACTCTCTCTCTCTAAATAAATAAATAAAATCTTTTAAAAAAATCTCTTAAAAAATAAAAATAAAAATAAAAAAGGATATAAAGAATTTTACATTAATTTGATACTATATACTTATTTGCCAGGTACATTAATCAGTGGTATCTTAGTGAAAACCTAGAAGTTGCCCTAATATATGTAAGATTTTAATATATGATAATAAGGCATTATAACAAAAGGAGAATGACAGAAATTATTTGTGGAGGCAAATAGAGTAGTAATATGGGGATGGGAGACTCTATTCTATCTTTATCTTGTGCCACATGTGGAAAGAGATTTCAAATGAATAAAAGAGTTGAAATACTTAATTAACAAATAACATATGAAATGTTCAAAGTAAACATTTTTCTGGTCACTTTGGTTGAGGCACTAAAGATATCTGATACCCAAGTGAATGAAAGACATCTATAAAAAAAATTTAACAAAGAAATGTACACAATGGGATTCATTATTTTCAGATCCCTCAGCCAGATCAAGATATAGAAGGTTTCAGAATACGGAGGTGGTGAATTTGTAAAGATACTTCAGAGAGCTATTGCTCGACTAGATGGGAATCGCCAATATGAGCAGCTAAAGTGAGAGGTGAGGTTTCTCTCCTTTATTCAAGCCTAATGGGGTTGGGGTGGGCAGTCTCTCAATGGATTGTTGAAGACAGTAATAATTTTCTTTTGAGGTGATAATGTACTCACATCTGGCTTCCTCCTTGAACATCAAGAGGCTGAGACTCTGCAGAGCAAGACGTTTGAACAGCTGGGGAAAGGGAAAGCTGCTGCTAGAAATTAACAGTCCTCCCTTCTAACCACTAGTTCAGAGTGCTAGGATCCCGAGGACTTGGTGTGAAGCCTGCCTGTGATCCTGACTATGATCGCTTCTCCTTCAGAGAAAGAGTCTGTATAGGGTGGGATACCAAAAAAAAAAAAAACAACAAAGAAGAAGACAGAGTAGGGGGAGGGGGAGGGGGAGGAGGAGGAGGAAAAGAAGGGATGGGTGGAAGAGGAGAGATGGGTGGAGGAGGAGGAGGAGGAGGAGGAGGAGCAGGAGGAGGATCTTTTGCCAAAGATTGATGGAGTCAATAGCGGTCAGTATTTAGTTACTAGTCAAGAACTCTAGAGTCCCATTGCATTCCTCTCCTCCTGTAAAGGGGCAGTGAGATGAAAATAAAGGTATCCTGATGAAAAAGAATAAAATTACATTATAAAGCATAGGGATGGGAAGAGGAGAAAAGTTTCTAATCTTAAAAGCATGAAAAGAAATAGCAAAGGAAAAAGGCTGATACATTTTACTATATAGAATTTGAAAATATATGTACGTAAGCATAAATTAACACATTACACATAAAGACAGTTAAGTAGTTGAAAAACATATTTGCAGCAGTTATGGCAGAAAAGGGGTCAATAACTTGATTACATAAAATGGCTCCAATTTATTAATGGACAAAGAGGAACAGTCAATTCACAAAGCAGGAAATAAAACTAAAGAAAAAATACCACTAATAATAAGGCAAGTGAAAATATAAGGCACTCTTCTTATTAAACTATTCAAATTAAGTTAAATGAAAATACTGATGCTATTAGCAGGGTAAAGGAAAACAAACACTAATGTGTGTTGGTGAAAGTGCAAATTAAGTTAGTATTTAATATTTAATGAAATAATTTATCGATATAAAGCAATAGATTTTAAAATGTTTACATATTTTTGACCCAGTAGTTCCAATTCTGTTAATATTACCTAAGGAAGATATATGCTATAGAATAGCAAAAAAGGGCGCCTGGGTGGCTCAGTGGGTTAAGCCGTTGCCTTCGGCTCAGGTCATGATCTCAGGGTCCTGGGATCGAGTCCCGCATCGGGCTCTCTGCTCAGCAGGGAGCCTGCTTCCCTCTCTCTCTCTCTCTGCCTGCCTCTCTGTCTACTTGTGATCTCTGTCAAAATAAATAAATAAAATCTTTAAAAAAAAAAAAAAAGAATAGCAAAAAAATTGGAAAAATGTAAATGCTCAACAAAAAGGGAAAAATTGAGCCCTGGAACATTAATAGAACACAATACTATGTAAACCACCACAAATAATGGCTATAAGGGAAAAAATGTTAAATTGGTGAATTTGGCATGATCCAAACTATTTTTAAAATAATTTTATTGAGGTATAACTGCATACCTAAGTTCTTAGAAAAAGAAAGGAAACAAATATTGTGGTGAGACAGTAGGTAATTTTAGCATATTTTTAAATCTTTTTTTTTAAGTGTATTTTTATGTCTTTTAAAGAAAAAATTATAAAATTGGAAAAGTCACCTGAGGTGTATAAGACATTATAAATACTAAATAAAATATATGAACTATTCATATTTGTTTGAGGGTATAAATTATTTTGTATTATTTTCCCCAAATCATAACATGTACCATGTATTAGACCAAGATGAAAGGTAGAATGGGTATAATTTAAAAGGAAACACTTATTTATTTATTTATTTATTTATTTATTTATTCATTTATTTTTATTATGTTATATTAGTCACCATACTGTACCTCATTAGTTTTTGAGGTTGCATTCCATGATTCGTTGTTTGCATATAATACTCAGTGCTCCTCCATGCAATACGTACCCTCCTTAATACCCATCACCTGGCTACCCTATCCCTCTACCTCCCTCCCCTCTAAAACCCTAAGTTTGTTTCCTGGAGTCCACAGTCTCTCATGGTTCCTCTCCTTCTCTGATTCCCCTCTTCATTTTTCCCTTCCTCTCCTAATGTCCTCCATGCTATTCCTTATGTTCCACAAATAAGTGAAACCATATGATAATTGACTTTCTACACTTGACTTATATCACTTAATATAATCTCTTTCAGTCCCATCCATGTTGATGCAAAAGTTGGGTATTCATTCTTTCTGACGGCTGAGTAATATTCCATTGTATATATGGATCACATCTTTATCCATTTGTCTGTTGAATGGCATCTTGGCTCTTTCCTTGGTTTGGGTATTGTGGACATTGCTGCTATGAACACTGGGGTGCATGTGGGCCTTCTTTTCACTACATTTGCATCTTTGGGGTAAATATGCAGTACTGCAATTACTGGGTCGTAGGGTAGCTCTATTTTTAACTTTTTGAGGAACCTCCACACTGTTTTCCAAAGTAGCTGCACCAACTTGCATTCCCATCAGCAGTGTAAGAAGGTTCCCCTTTTTCCACATCCTCTCCAATATTTGTTGTTTCTTGCCTTGTCGATTTTTGCCATTCTAACTGGTGTAAGGTGGTATCTCAATGTGGTTTTGATTTCGCTGATAACTAATGATGATTAACATTATTTCATGTGTCTGTTAGCCATCTATATGTCTTCTTTGGCTAAGTGTCTGTTCAAATCTGCCCATTTTTTGACCTGATTATTCGTTTTTTGGATGCTGAGTTTGAAAAGATCTTTATAGATCTCAGATATCAGCCCTTTGTCTGTGGTGTCATTTGCAAATACCTTCTCCCATTCTGTGGGTTGCCTCTTTGTTTTGTTGACTGTTTCCTTTGCTGTGCAGAAGCTTTTGATCTTGATGAAGTCCCTAAGGTTCATTTTCACTTTTGTTTCCCTTGCCTTTGGAGACATGTCTTGAAAGAAGCTGCTGTGCCCAATGTCAAAGAGGTTACTGCCTATGATCTCCTCTGGACTTTGATGGATTCCTGTTTCACATTGAGGACTTTCACCCATTGAGAGTTTATCTTTGTGTATGGTGTAAGGGAATGGTTGAATTTCATTCTTCTGTATGTAGCTGTCCAATTTTCCCAGCACCATTTATTGAAGAGACTTTTTTCCATTGGATATTTTTTCCTGCTTTGTCAAAGATTAGTTGACCACAGAGTTGAGGGTCCATATCTGGGCTCTCTATTCTGTTCCATTGACCTATGTGTCTATTCTTGTGCCAATACCATGCTGTCCTGATGATCACAGCTTGGTAATATAGCTTGAAATCAGGCAACGTGATGCCCCCAGCTTTTTCTTTTTCAACATTTCCTTGGCGATTCGGGTCTTTTCTCGTCCATACAAATTTTAGGATTGTTTTTCCAGCACTTTGAAAAATGCCATTGGTATTTTTATCAGGACAGCGTTGAAAGTATAGATTGCTTTGGGCAGTATAGACATTTAATAATGGTTATTCTTCCAATCCATGAGCATTGAATGTTTTTCCATCTTTTTGTGTCTTCTTCAATTTCTTTCATAAGTGTTCTGTAGTTTCTAGAGTATAGATACTTCACCTCTTTGGTCAGGTTTATTCCAAGTTATCTTACAGTTTTGGGTGCTATTGTAAACGGAATAGATTCCCTAATTTCTCTTTCTTCAGTTACATTATTAGTGTATAGGAAAGCAACTCATTTCTGTGCATTGATTTTGTATCCTGCCACATTACTGAATTGCTATATGAATTCTAATAACGTAGGGGTGGAGTCTTTTGGGTTTTCCACAAAAAGTATCATGTCACCTGTGAAGACAGTTAGTTTGACTTCTTTGTTGAAGTAATTTTTTAAAGACTATATAGTATGAACTAGGATAAGAGATGAACTAATAGGTATATCCTGTTACACAAAAGACTGATGAGATACTTCAAATTACTTTTTACCTAACTACTTAACATTCAGATCTGCATGTATCAGGAGCTAATTTCTTTTCTTTTTTTTTTTTTTAATTTTTTTAAAAAGATTTTATTTATTTGACAGACAGAGACCACAAGTAGGCAGAGAGGCAGGCGGAGAGAGAGGAGGAAGCAGGCTCCCCGCTCAGCTGGGAACCCGATGTAGGACTCTATCCCAGGACCCTGAGATCATGACCTGAGCTGAAGGCAGAAGCTTTAATCCACTGAGCTACCCAGGCACCCCTCAGGAGCTAATTTCTACCTTGTAAGTTATAACTCAAGAAAACACAACCATGATCTATCAAAGATTTGCAAGCAGTCACTGAAATTTTGAGAAATTCAGATTATTAGGTCGGGAATCAAAGTCAAATTTACGACTTTGCATGACTAGTGTTTTGTAAATAGAAAGACATCTATGCAGCAACATGTTTACCTGGTCTATCTGTTCATCTGAAAGGTATGAGGATTTTCCCTACTTGAGTTACAACTGCCTATTTCTTTTCTAATCTGTTTTTAAGGGTTCTATTAGCTGGGTGAAGCTGGAGGAGATAAGGAGTAACATAATCTCATCTCCAGTCACTACCTTATGCTTTTTTCCCCCCACATATTCATCTAAACACATCACCAGTAGGCGCTTACCTCCGATCATGGTTCTAAGTGTCTCTCGTATTACTTATGCTATACCTTGAGTCTAGAAGTATTTCGATCAACAATTACACTAACTACTGGTTTGCAAAAATGACTTCTAATGCTCATCCCTGGTACTTTATTATCACATTAAAAAAAAAAAAAGGTTACTTTTCAGCCACCATAAATAAGCTTTGACATAAACCTGTACCTTAAGAAGTGGAGGGAGCAATGACCTTGGATGTATGAAATAATCAAACTTGAGTATGGGTCCATATTTACCTGCATCTTCAGGGGTTCTTATTTCAAATTCTAGTAAGTTTTCTTGTTTTTCTTCTATATCTTGTAGAATGGCACTGATGGTCTGATGCTATCAGATAAAAATATTAAAACTTCATTACAGGAAGGTAGATATTTCTCTCTGATACACAATTGTCAAATGCACAGTAAAAGTGCTAAAGAAAGTGTTGCTAGAATACTCATTTTACTTTATGTTCGAAATGTATTCATGCTTTGTTCAAGCTTAACTGTATAAATTGTTACGTATTGGGGGGGGGAAGTAAACCTAAGTATTTGGACTTATGTAGCAGATCTATTCCTGGTAAATAGAAGATACGAGTAGGGACGCCTGGGTGGCTCAGTTGGTTGGACGACTGCCTCCGGCTCGGGTCATGATCTCGGAGTCCCGGGATCGAGTCCCTCATCGGGCTCCCAGCTCCATGGGGAGTCTGCTTCTCCCTCTGACCTTCTCCTCGCTCATGCTCTCTCTCACTGTCTCTCTCTCGAATAAATAAATAAAATCTTTAAAAAAAAAAAAAAAGAAGATACGAGTAGCAACCATATAAAGACTCATAATTTCTCACTGACTTCTGTTTTAATCATAGCTATAGGTGATAAAAGAAGAACTCAGCACATAATATTTAAAGATCACATATATGCAATAAATTCACTTTAAGGCTTTATGACTATCACTGCACACTATTAAAATCTCACACATAATCTTAAAAATACAAAACACAACTCACTCAAAAATTCACAAATGGGAATTAAGGCCACCTCTCCATGCCCTTGTTAGTACTGACTATCTTGCCTGGAATGCCTTCAATTTACTTTGCCCAGATGCATCTTTTATGAGAGAAGTAATCATGAAGTGGATGCTGGGACTAGACTGCCTGGATGTGAATTCTGGTTTCACCTTTTCCTAGCTGGGTGGCTCCATATGTTACTTGTCCTCTCTTTGCCTGAATAGAGTAACATATGTAAAATGCTTCGGGCAGTGCCAGCAAAACATGAGAGCTCAGTAAGTACTGCTTATTATTATATAAAACCCATATCATACATGAAACCTCTGGCTAATCTAATTTACACAGATTCTCCTTTCTCAGAATCAGTTAAGAATTTTGGTGGTGTATAATTTACCATTAATATATATAGTGTCTTACACATTATATTTCTCTATCAAGAAAATAACATCTTACAGGGCAGGAGCAAAGCTTTTATATTTGTCACTGGTTTCCACACTGTTGGATGTATAGCTGGTGCTCAATAAACAAAACTGATGGACTGACTCATATTACCTATCCTTTCATATATTCTTAATATATATTCATTTAAACAATGTGACAGTCCTCAAAACTTTCTAGAGTACACTGCTCTGAAATTTTACTTTGGTGCCTACAGGGACATGAAAAATGCACATAATAAAACCATCCAATTATGTGGAAAAGCAATCTCACTGCTATCATTTATGAAATGCATCAGAGCAGAACTATAAAACATAAATATGCAAAACAAACAAAATGAGATTTATCTCTTTTTACATTGAATGGCTGTAAAAGCAAACTAAAGGTCTGCATCTGAGCCCTAGCTAAGCCTCTATCCACAGGTCAGCATAAAGAAAACGTTTTTTGGTGCTGATTTTCCTTTTTTTGCTTTGCTCATATTGTGGATGCACTCAATCTTGGCTACCACAGGCAATAACCTTCAACTCCATACCAGCTTTTCCTTGAAACTTCCCACCCTGAAGGAGCCAGCATAACCTTCCCTCTAAGATCCCCCTTCTTAATCCTCCATTACTGCTTGTTTATCTTAAGAAACACCAAAAAAACCCAACCTGTGATCTGTCTTTGGAACAAGCAGCTTTAGACAGTTTATACTGTGCTTACGGAAAGCTTCACTCTAATTTTATTCCAAATTTCCTATTTTTTTTAAAGATTTTATTTATTTATTTGACAGACAGAGACCACAAGTAGGCAGAGAGGCAGGTGGGGGAGGGGGTTAAGCAGGCTCCCCACTGAGTGGAAAGCCCGACTCGACTTGGGGCTCGATCCCAGGACCCTGAGATCATGACCCGAGCCAAAGGAAGAGGCTTAACCCACTGAGCCATCCAGGTGCCCCTCACAATGTCTTCTTTACAATGGTTAACAGAAAGCATGTAAGAGAAGTCTAATCAACATACATAGTCTTTTTTTTTTTTTTAAGATTTTATTTATTTATTTGACAGAGAGAGAGAGAGCACAAGCAGGGGGTGCGCCAGGCAGAGGGAAGCGGGCTCCCTGCTGAGTGTGGAGCCCGATGTAAGGCTCAATCCCAGGACCCTGCGATCCTGACCTGACCCAAAGGCAGATGCTTACCTGACTAAGCCATCCAGGTGCCCCTCAATATACATAGTCTTATTTAAAATAATATTTCATTGAGGATGCTATTTTCTCAAGAAGTTAGTTTCTAGTAATCTCTACATTTTTATCAAGTTACATGTATCTATCTTAACAAGTAATATTTTTTATTGAGCAACTACTATGTTATTTTTGTATACACACACTTTAATACAAGGAGTTTCACATACAGCAAACACTATCATTATAACCCACGTGAGATTCCAGGTTGGCTAACCCCAGCTGCCTTTCTCTCCTCTGCCTGGGTTCAGGGTCTTTTCAACCTACTACGTGTCTTAGACTTTTTGTGGGAATGTCTTCACAGTGGGTGAAGACACACTATGATAGTGGGAAAAGAAGTAAAGAACACAACCTAGTTGTAAAGAATAGCAACTAATCCATAATTCTGTATTCAAAGCAGATAAGTGAGTTAACTATACAACATATTTTCTTGGCTCATTAGCCATATTATTTTCTTGTGCAAAAATTACTTTCGGGGTGCCTGGGTGGCTCAGTCATTAAGCATCTGCCTTTGGCTCAGGTTATGATCCCAGGGTCCTGGGACTGAGTTCTGCATTGAGCTCCCTGCTCTGTGGGAAGCCCTCTCCCTCTCCCTCTGCCTGTGCTTGTGTTCCCTCTCTCGCTGCTCTCTCTCTCTCTCTGTCAAATAAATAAATAAAATCTTAAAAAATATATATTTTCAACCTGTGTGTTCTTAAAATGTAAAGAGTACTGCCAACAGCCACTGGCTGGCTGGCCCAAAGAATGACATATTCCAAGCTGAAAAATGAAAGGATTTCAACTTCACTCACCACAGGATGGTTTTCTCTTGTTTTTTCTCTGTGTGAAAGAGAAGGTGGATCAACAGTTTTGCAGTCATCACGAAAATACCGTTTAAGTCTTTTTGGTCGGACAGCAGGAATTTTGACTTTAAAAATTAAAATTAGAAAATACAATAATGTGAAAAATTTAGCATCATTTTATCAAGTTTAATGGTTACAGAAATAGAATAAATTAAATCTACAATTACCATAATAATGTTGATCAGCATCGCATTATTTATTATTATTTTTAAATACTTTATTTGACAGACAGAGATGACAAGTAGGCAGAGTGGCAGTCAGAGAAAGAGGGGGAAGCAGGCTCCCTGCTGAGCAGAGAGCCCAACACAGGGCTCGATCCCAGGATCAAGACCTGAGCCAAAGGCAGAGGCTTTAACCCACTGAGCCACCCAGGCATCCCATTATTTATTATTATTATCAATTGAGTGATTACAGCTAACATTTACTGAATGCTGATCACACACTGGATGGCAGACTCTTTTCCTGAACCATCTTATTTAATCTTCATATGAGCCCTGTAAGATAGGTAGCTTACTCTGTCCATTTTACAGAAGAGGAGAATGAAGCTTAGAGGGATTCAGGAAGTTTCCTTAACGTTACACAGCTTTTACTGAAAACAGATCCAATTCCCAAATCCATGCTATTCATCAACTGTGTCTATGATTCATTGTCTCGGATCTTTTTCCCATTCTGGATTCCCTTTCTTCATATAACTACTGTACCCTACATCCCTCATCCTTTTAGGGTAACTGATCAAGGAAATGCCTACGTAAGAAACAACAGACAAGTGCGAATAGATACAGCACTTCATAACAGTGTCCAGTAATTTCAAATATGGCTATGGAGAGGAAAAGAGACATGGCTGGAACTCTATATGGTAGCAGGCAATGAAAAGATGAACCTTGTATCAGTCTTGACCTTGACCTACACATAATCTATCACACTAGTAAAATATGAGACAGTGATTATCCTTGGGTCTGACCAATCACATCAGTAACATGATTCCTCTCTTGAAAATCAACAACTGGTAAAGATAGTGGTAGGCTGGGAGAAGAGGGTATGACAGGGGTTCTCCCTTTCCAATTACTCTGCCTCATAGAAAGGGCAGATATGTTCCTGGGTTTCTCAAATAAGTCAAGGCTCAAGCAGGACAGGAAAGGAAGAAAAAATCACTCTTCTCAATACTTAATAAACTGCATTTAACTGTTTGTTTTCTGGTTGCTCTCCCCACAAGACTGTAAGTTCCTCATAGGCAAGTACTCAATTTGCTTGGTAGGTACTTAACAAATATATATTTTCAAATTAGTGTTCACTACATGCCTATTTCTTATAGATAATACATTATATCATTTAAATGCAAACTATTTCTTAAAAATGGTTCATAAAATTTTGCTTCACTGTAAATTCCCTTAAATATTTTTTACACTATATTTACACATACACACACGCATACAAGTATATTTGCTTAACAAATTCATACTCTAGCATTAGGACATTAGAGTACTGAAAAGTTGGCATCGGTCCCTTTCACACGACTCACTACAAATTTTGAAGTAACGGAATCTTAGTTGCAAAGACTAGTATAATGCCAACCTTTTCCAACCCCCCTACCAGTAAGTCAATATGTGTGGCTTCAGTTACATCTCTGTCTCAGACCCAATGTTAGAGATTAGTGATTGTTTAACGAATAATATGGATTCCATTCCAACATGTAATGCCAATCCAACAGGATCATATGGTATATAAATTAAACCAATTTGGAAATGCTAATTTCTAAAAATAAATAATTTTTAAATGCTTTTCAAGAGTTTAATAAACATAGAAAACATCTACCCCAGTTATGAAACAATTTACACTAGAAATCTGAAGATTTTTCTAAGCAGAGGTATATACTTATCTAAAATAGCAATACTGACATACATACCAGTGGCTATAACATTACTTTCATCGCTATTATCAGTCTCAATTGCACCATACGATTTCAGCAGCTCTTTCATTTTTTCATCATTTGCTTCATCCAAAGCAGTCTTCTGCTTTTGATTCCTTTGATTTGGGTTTGCTCCATGTTGTAGTAGAATCTCAGCTGCCTAGAAGATATTTTTTCAAAGTTATTTCTATAGACACAGAAGATCAGTAATTTCTGCTTTCATTGCGCTACCACTATTAAAAATTATCAAAGTATTAAAAGTTATCAAAAGAAGTTTCAAACCCTGGCCAAGAAAATGTTTGATTAAAATTTGATATGAAAGCTATAAACTGCTCCGTGGATTTGGCCTGATCTGTCCGCCCACCCCTCCAGGAGGATGAAAACATAATGACAAGAAAGTACCAGATATGCTGCCTTCATTGCAATCAAGAAGTAAACATAGGCAGAATGACATGCAACACAGACTCTAACAGAGTCCTTTGTCTCTTCCTCCAAACTGCATTACTGTATTTTAGGTATGTTACTTGTTCAAGAAGTTTAATGAGCTAGCTTGAAAAATCCAATGACCCTTCTAATAATGTTTGTGCAAATCTGTCATGTGTCCTAAATAAGTGACTTATATGAAAGGATGCAAAAGGAAACAGAAATAATCTACTCCAACCCCATCACCTTACAGAAGAGGAAACTGAGTCATAGAGGTTGTGACATTGACTGGGGAGCAGTTTCTAATACAAATAACGTTTCTCTGAGTAACTCAAAGCTGTTGTATATTAGAAGTTTATAAATGATCAAAATTAAAGATGTTATTAATTAACTTATGGTATAAATCAACTAGTGAAAAAAAGCCAATGATTCCATCTGGGTGAGGCAAGCAAGTAACTCAATAACTGAAAAACCTGATTGGGAAAAGATGGTCAGGATCTTGTTTAAAATAGAGATATGCTTGGGGCGCCTGGGTGGCTCAGTGGGTTAAGCCTCTGCCTTCGGCTCAGGTCATGATCTCAGGATCCTGGAATCTAGCCCCGCATCAGGCTCTCTGCTCAGCAGGGAGCCTGCTTCCCCCCATCTCTCTCTGCCTGCCTCTCTGCCTACTTGTGATCTCTGTCAAATAAATAAATAAAATCTTTAAAAAAAAAAGTAGAGATATGGTCTGTGTTAGTGACTTATCTCTTTCTCCTTATGTCCAGGTATGGAGAAGCAGAGAATTTAGGAGCATATGGGCCAGTGAAGATGATAAGGATAGCCCCTCATTTGTTCCATCAGCCCAGAGTCAGCATAGCATAAAAGAAAACATGCTTGTTTTAAAGTCAAGTATACAAAACTCACTCCCCTAACCTATTAGCTACATCTTTGGGCTACCATTTAAACCTCATTTTTATCATCTATGAGAACTAAATGTGAGCCCTTGTCAAATACCTTGTACATAGTGGATTCTTAATAAAAGTAGTCCCCTAAACCCTTTTTTTCTTTAGAAGAGTTAAAAGAGGGGCGCCTGAGTGGCTCAGTGGGTTAAAGCCTCTGCCTTCGGCTCAGGTCATGATCCCAGGGTCCTGGGATTGAGCCCCGCATCACGCTCTCTGCTCGGCGGGGAGCCTGCTTCCTCCTCTCTCTCTGCCTGCCTCTCTGCCTACTTTTGATGTCTGAGTGTCAAATAAATAAATAAAATCTTAAAAAAAAAAAAAAGAAGAGTGAAAAGACCAACTGAGGTAATGAGAGACAGTAGATAATAAATAGCATATGAAAAAAAATCTCCTGCAAAGATATCTGATGAAAACTTAGTGAAGTCTGAGTAAAGGTATTTTGTTTTGGTTTTAAAAGATGGGTTGAGCACTACCTCAATCCAGTGGTTTCTAAGCCTGAGTGATCAGTAAAGTCACCTGTGGAATTATTTAAAAATATAGATTCCTTACACCCTCTTTCCACTGCTTTATATGGAGTCAGGAGAAAGCTGGGTTTTTTGTTTGTTTATTTGTTTGTTAACAAGGGAAGCTTTTCTAGACTTAAAAATCATGTCACATTACTAATGACTATTCTGCATGTTAAGATGAGGTCTTCCTCTAATGTATTAACATTAGGTATTTACATTATATTAACAAAGGTATTAACTTTTGTTTTGGAAGACACAGAAAGCTCAGAGGGAATGGGACCCTGAACAGCTTTGTTTCAATAACAAAAGAAAGCTCAGAGGGAATGGGACCCTGAACAGCTTTGTTTCCTTTTTAGTAGGAAAAAGCCAAAAAAAGCCTAAGAGAACACCAAATGGGCCATAGAGGTATTAAACAGAAAAGGCTAAAGCTATAGTTGGGAGAGAGTTCCAGGTCATACAATGGGGTAGACCTGAGGAACAAAGATCTTGACAAAAATAAGGTGAACAAGAAGTAGGCCCCTTGCCTGATTTTTCTTTCTTTTTTTTAAAGTCAGCTTTGCTGGAGTAATCACTACTATAACCATGGCTTAGAAACATTCCATGATTAAAAAAAAAATTCATTATGCCTTGCTAACAGTCAATCCCTACCCACCTCTCTTTGGCCCTTGGCACTCAGTAATCTGCTGCAACCAGTATAATATTTGCGTTTTGTCTAATTTCATAGGAATGGAATCATATAGGATAAAGTCTTCCTATATCTGTCTTCTTTAAATTAGCATAATGTTTTTGAGATTCATCCATACTGCTGTGTGTATCAACAGTTTGATCTGGCTACCTGCTAGCTGGTATGAGAACAGTGTAATAACAGTGACTAGAATTTATACCTACTCTTCCATGCATGTAGAGAACAAGAACACTTGTAATAAAGGTATTTCTAGGGTCGCTTAGGTGGCTCATTTGGTTGAGCATCTATCTGACTCTTGATTTCAGTTCAGGTCATGATCTTAGGGTCATGGGATTGAGCCCTGCATCGGCCTCTGTGCTCAACGTGGAGTCTGCATGTCCCTCTCCCTCTGTTCCCTGGCCACCCACCCCCAAATAAATAAAGAAATAAATAATATCTTAAAAATCTAAGAATGCTACTTGCAAGGTATGATGAGAACATTATTGATATGCGTTTGTTCATACATTCATCAATTGATGGACATTTGGGTTGTTTCTACTTTTTGGTTATTTGGAAAAGAGTGCTCTGAATAATCACATACAAATTTTTGTGTGAATATGTTTTTAATTCTCTTGGCTATATACCTAAGAGTGGAATTTGCTCCATCATATGGCAACTCTATGTTTAACTTTTGAAGGAAGTTCCAGAGTGTTTTCTATAGCAGCAGTACCATTTTACATTACTGCCAGCAATGTATGACAGTTTCAAATTTATCACATCTTTGCCAACATGACTTTTATTTTTGAAAAAATATTTTGCTGGGCATACAATTCTAGATTGACAAGTTTATTTCTCCTTGCAATATTTTTTAAAGATGTTGCTCCTTTGTCCAATGGCTTGCAAATTTTTTCCCGTTATTTATTAACATATAATGTATTATTTGCCCCAGGGGTACAGGTCTATGAATCATCAGGCTTACACATTTCATAGCACTCACTATAGCACATATCCTCCCCAATGTCCATAACCCAGCCACCCTCTCTCTACCCTCCCAACCCCCAGCAACCTTCAGTTTGTTTCATGAGATTTAGACTCTCTTATGGTTTGTCTCCCTCTTGATCCCATCTGGTTTCATTTTTTCCTTCCTTACCCCCCCATAACCCCCCACCCCGCCTCTCAAATTCCTCATATCAGAGAGATCATTGTCTTTCTCTGACTGACTTATTTCACTCAGCATAATACCCTCTAATTCCATCCACATCATTGCAAATGGCAAGATTTCTTTTGATGGCTACATAGTATTCCATTGTATATATATACCACATCTTCTTTATCCATTCATCTGTTGATTGGACATTTAGGTTTTTTCCATAGTTTGACTATTGTGGACATTGCTGCTATAAACATTCAGGTGCACATGCCCCTTCGGATCCCTACATTTGTGTCTTCAGAGTAAATACCCAGTATTGCAATTGCTGGGTTGTAGGGAAGCTCTATTTTCAACTTTTTGAGAAACCTCCATACTGTTTTCCAGAGTGGCTGCACAAGCTTGCATTCCCACCAACAGTGTAGGAGCGTTCCCCTTTCTCTGCATCCTCACCAACATCTGTTGTTTCCTGATTTGTTAATTTTAGCCATTCTGACTGGTTTGAGGTGGTATCTCATTGTGGTTTTGATTTGTATTTCCCTGATGCCGAGTGATGTGGAGCACTTTTTCATGTGTCTGTTGGCCATATGGATGTCTTCTTTGCAGAAATGTCTGTTCATGTCTTCTGCTCATTTCTTGATTGGATTATTTGTTCTTTGGGAGTTGAGTTTGGTAAGTTCTTTATAGATTTTGGATACTAGCCCTTTATCTGATATGTCATTTGCAAATATCTTCTCCCATTAT